TGTTGTTTGTTCTTAGGACTTTATGTTTAGATTAGGTGCTATGAAGGTATAAGGGTTAGTATGTCTTGACTACTTTAGAAGATTGCTCTACCGAAGGGGGATACTAACAGTCGATTGGATCAGGGTGTTGGTAGTAGCTAGGTATTTAGGAGCCCTATAGACAGCCTCGAAACATTCACCTATTTGCATTTAGACAATTACATGTAATGGAGGATGTAATGCTTGGGATGAAAGTTGGGGGTTAGGGGAAGGAAGGTGCTTATAAAAAGAAAGAAGGAGAGGGAGATAGATAGAATAGAGGAGAATGGAATGAACAATAAAACTTGAAAAGGGAAAGAAAGAAGGAAAAGGGGAGGGAAAAAATAAAATAAAATAAGAAATAAAATTAGGTCTTAGAGATCTATTTTCTTCTCTTCCAGTAGGCGGAGTTGTGCCTTCCGAGCTGAGCTTCTGCCCTCTATGTGTTGACAGCAATCCCTGTAAGACGGCTCCTGGGAGTCTCTCAATCCTGTTAGTCCAGAGCTGTTTCACTTCTCCGGCCCCTCCTCCCCTTCCTCCTGCCAGCCAGCCAGGTCCTGCTCACTGGAGGTGGTTCCTCAAGGATCTGGTTACACTTTCAGCCCCACTGTGTACCCTATTTCCTGAACGACTGAGCACTCTCTCTGTCATTTATCTAAGCCCCAGTGCTGTGGAGCTGTGATCTGGGAGCCAATAGTTTAATTTTTCCGGACCCCTTTGGTGGGCACGCCCTCGGAAACTGGCGGCTAAGACCTTGGGTGTCGCCACTGGTGGTAAGGGGAGTTGGGGATCGAGAATCCCCTCTGCTTCCCTCAGCCCCTACAATCACGACCTCTCCGCTGGCGGTAGGAGGAGTTGGGGGTCAGGAGTGCCTTCTGTTTCCCTCCGCCCCTACCGTCACCCCCTCTCTGTTGGCGGTTGGGGGAGTTGGGGGTGGGGACTCTTCTCTGCTTCCCTCCACCCCTACAGTCATGCCCACGCCATGGCGGTAGGGGGAGTTGGGGGTCGGGGGTCCCTTGGCCCTTACTGTCACGCCCACGGAGAGATTTTTGAAGTTTCCCAGTTGTTTGTATCTGGTGGGGGTGGGAGTCACACACCTGCTAAAGTGGATTCCGCTGGGAAGGAATCTCGTTGGCCGAACTCTGGTGATGTCACCTCTCTGCTATGGCGGGCCTCAGGCTCCTTGCCGGAGTGTCCGAAGGGAGGGGTGGGACTGGCTTGTCTCTGGTCTGACTCAATCTCTGGTTTTAGTTCCTGGTTCGCTATTTCATAAAGGCTTGGTTTGAGTCCCTTCACGTTGCCTGCTGAGCCGGGTGGGCTTGGGCCTTTCGCTGCGCCAGGCCGGCGGGGGGCCATTTGCCGCAGTGGGCCTGCAGGAGCCGTTTGCAGAGGCAGGCCGGCGGGACTGGACCTCTGTGCCACGTGGCCGAGATTCATTTGTCTTGGGCAAACTTTCATCTCCAATACACTTACTAATTCCCAGCAGGTCTCCTTTCAGCGGAATTTTGCTAGAAGTTTCTCAGCAGGAAGAATCTAGGTGTATTAATGCGTCTCTCTGATCCCGTTAGTGTGGAGGTACTGAAAGTGCTGCCTCCCTGCCGGCTGCCATGTTGGGTCCATCATGAAAATTCTTTGAGAGCAAGGATTTTTGTTCACTGCTATTTTTGCAGTGTCTAGATTAATACATGGCAGATAACAGATATTCAAATATTTGTTGAATGAATAACTTCCATGATTTCCTAAAAAATTTCTCCCCTCTTATTCCATTTTTATAGGCTTCTATAAAATTTGAGGAACAAATTTATCTTCAGAAGTTTTATTTTTATATATTATATAATATATAATAATATATATATTATATATTATATATTATATATATTATATATTATAAAATATATTTTTATATATTTTATATATATATATATATATAATTTTTTCCCTTGACCTGTCAATTAATTTATTCCTCTTAGTAAAGTCATATGTATCTTGGACTCATTTATATATCCTTTTGCCACTTCTTTAATACCATATGATTAATATCTTTAGGGCTAAGTGATGTCTGGGAGTTTTGAGATTACATAATAAAGCTTTAACAAGAGAAGTCAGTTTTTTATCTTCTGTTTTCTTTTATGTTTAGTACATTTTTCAATATTGCTTGTAATATTGGAGTAAGGAAATAAAATGCAATTTTTACAAAAACAGCCAGAATCTTACACATAGGGCAGCCAAGTAATGATTTTAAAGTAATTTGCTTTTTAAAAATTTGTGTAATTTTAACTGCCTGATTGCCCAATATTAGTAGTTTAGATATAATGTAAAATTAATGCTTGAAAATAAAGTAAAAGGCAAGTTTTTTCTCATTAACTCTTTTTTTAATTTTTAATTTTTTTTAGTTGTAGATGGACACAATACCTTTATTATATTTATTTTTATTTGTGTGGTACTGAGGATTAAACCCAATGCCTCACATGTGCTAGGTGAGCCACAACTCTAGCCCTTCTCATTAACTGTTATAATGTTTAATAACTTTTAATAATTTAAAATTTTATGCTTTCATTTCACTTTTTACCCTTACAACAGCCACAACCACAAAAATACGTATGTAGTAAATCACGAAGCTAAATTTTAAGCCAGGACATTCTGGCTCCATTCATCCAAAGTATATTATACTAGGCATTTGCATTCAATACTAGAATACATTTTTTGATAACATGTTGGTAAATTTGAATTTAGCAGTTTGATCAGACTTGAAATTTTGTTAACATGAGGTCTTTGATGATACTATGTGGTGTAAGAGTGTATGAGATTGCTTTCATCACTATAGAAAGACTAGCTTTACATGGGAGCATGGGAAAATAGACAAGAAGTGGCAAACTACTAAGGAAAAAGAAGCAGGAAAGTAGTAGATTGAAGATTACCATCTACTTGGACAGTTCTGCTTATGAGAGTTTACTGATATGGAGTGTTACATGGTAAATCAGTAGAATTAATTGCCTTGGAAATATGTAGATTCATTAATTTTGACTCATGTTACTCAAAAGTAAATGTAAATGAGTTTTATCAGTGATGTCCTTAAATTGAGATAAAGCTTTTTAAAAAAAAATTCAGAATCTAATACAATTTAAAATTCTTCTTTGTGAGGGTGTATTTGAAGTTTCTTTTTTTTTAATTTAATTTTTTATTAGTAGTAATAATAAAATATTTTTTTCATATACTCACTAAACATATGAATATATGTTACTTTAAAAAGTTTTAAAAGGTTCTTTATTCTGACATAGGTTATCTTCACAAAGTTAGGATATGGACAAAACATTATTGTTGTTTTATGCAAATAACATCTCTTATTCATAATTTCTTTTAAATATCCATGATGATAACCTTTAAAGTTTTGCTTCAAGACAAGAAACTAAAATTAAATCAGAAATGTATTCTTTTACTTTCCTTGAGCTGTTACATGCATGGTTATAACATTGTCTTACTTTTTTTTTTTTTTTTAAAGAGAGAGTGAGAGAGGAGAGAGAGAGATAGAGAGAATTTTTTTTTAATATTTATTTTTTAGTTCTCGGCGGACACAACATCTTTGTTGGTATGTGGTGCTGAGGATCGAACCCGGGCCGCACGCATGCCAGGCGAGCGCGCTACCGCTTGAGCCACATCCCCAGCCCTTGATATAACTTACTTTTAACTGGAAAAATTATTTATTAAATACCCAAATCAGTATCATTCCTTGGCATAAGTGATTTTAGCAATTTTTGACACATTCTTAATATTTTTTATAAGAGTTTTATGGTTATACATAGTAGTTGGGTTTCATTCTTAATATTCTTAATTATATTTTTCTAACATGATACACATTGAATATTTACTTTTCTTTAAGTGAATACGTATTCTTAGTAGTAGACTTTTAAAATAGCTAGTAAATATGCTGAAGAAAAATTTTTGAAACTTTCATATATATGAAGAATTATAGATAAAAGATTAATTCTAATTAATATCTATTGTGATGGCACCCATCAACCATGAAAAAATACTTTAAAGGATCTAGAATTGAATATCTTTAAAAAGCAATACAAGTTAACTTTTCATAGTTATTTTTCATGGTTATTTGCTTTCTCACATTGTTATTTTTAAAAGGATGATTTTAAAAGTTGAATGCTTTCAAAAATATATTTCTCAGTAACTACTTATCTAAAATGTATTAGTAGTAATGTAGTCAAAGCCAGTTTGTGAAGAAACTATCGTGATTATTTCTATACTCTGCAAAGATTCAGTGATTTCATCTGGTACCCATCCATCCTGTAGTCTGGTACATTCATCCCAGACCATTTGTAGCATATCATCAGTGTTAGTGGTTGTAATGGCAGTGTTCTTCATTTCCTCCCAAGGAAAAGATGGTATAAACAGAAGGTATATACTAGATGTGTATCTAAGATGAGTAATTTTAAAACATTCACTTCTTTTGAATCATTCTGTGCCTTCAGGATGTGCATATATTCTTGGTAATAAAAGTTTGATAGTAGTCAGAGAAATAATGATTCACTAAGGAGAAGATTGCTTGTGTGAAATGATCATAAGACAGTATTTGTAATAAGATAATTAGCTTTCTTATTTTTCAAGTCAGTTGGCATATTTAGTTCCCCCAGAGAGAAATAACAAAAGGACAGAAAGTACACATTCTTGATCTTTTATTGAGGAATGCTATTTAATTTTCTAGCACTTCAACCTTCAGATTTTAAAATAATAAATATTAGAACAGTTCAACTTAGATAATTTTCTTTTGTGAGCATTAAGTCTATCTTGTATTATAATTTTAGCTGTTTAATCCATTAATTTAAAGTTGCAAAAGTTTTTAAACCTTGCATATCTTTTCTCATGTTTGTATAGCACACATACAGAAGAGTGTACACATAATTATAACTTGATTAATAATTATTATCTCATCAGCATTAGCCATACAATAACTATTGGATATTATTTTACAGGAGACTTTGCAGCAATTGATTGTGATGTCATTGCCAAATGTCTTAATCATTGGTAAAAATCCCTTTTCTGGTAGGTATTGAAATTAATATGATGTGATGATGATGTCTTATTTTGTGTAATTCTATAATGTTTACCAGGTATTTGATTATTTACATTGACTCACTAGGTTTTTTACAACCCTGTAGAATTTCTGGTTTGTAGACAGAAAGCAAGCTTAGGGCTAGGCCTGGTAGCACACACCTGTAATCCTAGCAGCTTGGGAGGCTGGGGCAAGAGAATCGAAAAGTTCAAAGCCAGCCTGAACCAACTTAGCAAGACCCTGTCTCTAGGTAAAATATAAAAAAGGTGGGGATGTGGCTCAGTGGTTAAGTGCCTCTGGGTTCAATCCCCGGTACCAAAAGAAAAAAAAAGAAAGAAAGCTTAGAATATTTGTAAGTCGCAGGTGAGACCAGACACACATTTAACACTAACTCCCATTTTTTTTCGAATATACCAAACTGATGCTTTTTGATGATGATTATGGCTTTTAGTGTGTCATTGTAAACAAATATAGAGGATGATCTAGTTATAAGCTTAAAGGTATATAACCTTACATTGAAATAATTTCCAGTTTCCATTTATTTATCTATTGTCTATCCTTGCCAAATAGTTTGAAGCTAAGGTTTTACTGATGATATGTTTTAATGTACATAAAACTACTTCTGAATTGAAAGTTGAGAAGTAGTTTCTTAGGTTATTTAAATTTCTTCTTTGAAATTCTTTACCCTTTGCCAGATTTTAAATGTTACATGTTGAGAATTTTTGGTTTTGTTTTTTTCTTGGTGCTGGGGATTGAAATTGGAGCCTCACATTTATTAAGCACACACTGTATCACAGAGTTATACCCTTAACCCTCAGGATTAGTTTTTTAATATTTGGGGAAATCAGTATCTACTTGTTTCCACAAAAAGTTTGATTCTTGCAGGCTCTGTGGTATCCAAATGAGTATATTTTCTTCAATCCCATCCCCACGGTCATCAAAATAAACCAAAATAAAAAACAAAATCAAGTAACTGTTGTTATAGAGAAAGCAATCAATTAATGAATTAGGAGTAAATTTAATTAGTACTTAAATTAGGTGGATTAGGAGTATGGATAGTCTTTAGAGATTCTCCAGGATATTTAATTATACACATTTTAAAAAGGGAAAAATTTTACATGTAGAATGATATTATTTTCTTTTTTTATTATTTTTTTTAGTCATACATGGCAAGAATGATATTATTTTCATTCCATATTTATTTAGCAAGTCCCTACCAAGTTTTAGGGACAAGGAATATAAAGAAATGATCCATGTTCTGGAGGATCTTGTGGTTCAGTGAGAGAGAGCTTACTGAGAAACTGTATAATAATTAGTATGAAATAGAAAAAAGGCATATAAATATTAGATCCATTAATCATTCTTAATTAATGAAAGTTGGGGATCATTCATGATTGGATCAGGAAAGACTACACAGAAATGTGTTGGAGCTTTCCCTAGGAAGATAATTAGTTAGTTGTTCACACAGGGATGAGGAAGTAAGGGGAAAAAGGCAGAAGAATTAGCCAAAATTAAGACAAAAGAGTGGGTATGCATGTATGTTTGAGAGAAACAGTGAATAACATGGTTCAGTGTGGCTAGAAATTAAGTTGTTTCATAGAAAATAGGAGAAAATATCTGAAATGAAGGCTATTATCACAGACAGTTTAACCTAATAGTGAAAATTTACCCCAGAGATATGTATTTTAACAAAATCTTCACTGAATGTTATTGAATAGGGGTATTCTTGCCAGTTCTATTACAGACCATTAACTCTTATCTTGCTTGTCTTATTTGTTTTAGCCTCACTGTAATAGAGAACTATAAAAGATATTTAAGGTTCTGACCCTTATGAGCCTACATAGTGGAAATCCATGTAAATGTTATAGGTAGATAAGTCATAATGTATTTGTTTTTATAAGAACACTAAGAGGAGCCATATTGGCTGACTTTGTGGCATGTCCCTATATCTACATAATTTGATAGATTCTTAATTTGGTAGACTGATATAATTAATTATGGAAAAGTAGTATTTTATAGTATATTTACTGTACAAAGCCTTGAAGCATACTTATCTATATTAATAATCCTCCACTATAGAGATCCTTGCCCATTTCTTCTTCTAGTACTACACTGCACATAGAGTTGCTTTTTTTGAATTGTTTGCTATATTTATAGAATAAGTCTTTTGGTCAATTTATTATAGAAGTGATTCTCCCATTATAAGAAAGAGAGTAGAAATAGAGCTGAATGTTGTACTTAGTTATTGTTTTTATTTCAGAGCAAGGCACAGAAGAAGTTAAAAAGCTGCTTTTACTCTTACTGGGGTGTGCAGTTCAGGTATGTTTAAATATTTCTTATATTCATTTTAAAACCTCTTTATGTTTTTTCAGGCTCTGCTTTCTCAAAGATTTAAGGATGGACCTTTGGTTTTCAAAGTGTGTGTTAGAAAATTTTAAATATCTGTATAAGGAGATTATGTTAAAGAAAAATATATTATTTTAAAATGTAGTTATATTATTATAGCTGTATTATTTAAAACCTTCAGTTATTATTATGCTCATTCTGAGGCGTTTAGTGGTCTTCTTCTAAAGATTTTTTTCCAGAAAGATATCTTTAAAAACTTATTCCCTAATTTTTATGATTTATGTTTGCATTTGTGTGTGTTTTAGGAAAAGGGAAGGAGGAGTAATAATAAAAAGGAGGGGGTTGGAATTGTGGCTCAGTAGTAAAGTGCTTTCTAACATGTGTGCAGCACTGAGTTTGATCCTCATCACCACTTTAAAAAACAAATAAATAAATAATAAAGTAGATATTGTGTCAGTCTACGATTAACATGAGATTCATTTTAAAAAATAATAAAAAGGATGACTTGGGAGGCTGAGGCAGGAGGATCACGAGTTTAAAGCCAGCCTCAGCAAAAGCAAGGTGCTAAAGCAACTCAATGAGACCCTCTGTCTAAATAAAATACAAAATAGGGCTGGGGATGTGGCTCAATGGTCAAGTGCCCCTGAGTTCAATCCCTAGAACTCCCCTCCCCAAAAATAATAATAATAAAAAGGAGGTAGAATTTATGAAAAACATTTTAGGAGTCTGGGTTATTATTATATTGCCCTTTGATCAGTGATTATTCTAATAGTAATAGCTATGATTCATTGAATTCCTACTTTATGTTATACTTTACATAGGTTTTCTCATGTCTTTTCTTAAATAAAAGAATTAGGTAGCATGATATTTCAGTTAGAAGTTATCAAAATTAGGGCAATTCTCAAAGTCAAGGAAGGAGTTGTTAACAATTACAGTGGAGGGGCTGGGGTTGTAGCTCAGTGGTTGAGCACTTGCTTCTCATGTGTGAGGCACTGGGTTCAATCCTCAGCACCACATAAATCAATCAATCAAAAGATATTGTGTCCATCTTCAACTAAAAAAAGTTTAAAAAAATAATTATGGTGGACCTGCATGTGTCTAAGGTAAACTGAGATGATTATTTTAGATTTAGGTCATATTGCTAGCAGGCCAAAGAACTGAAATTCTGGTTTGATTTCTGAACCATTATATTGCAGTGAATTAATTTAATCAGCTTTTTTTCTTACATGAATGATTACAGTGTTACTTTAAACCATCTTGATTCTTTGTGAAATCAGGTTATTTGTAAACAAATGAATAGCTAAAATTATACATCCCAGAAAGCTGACTTTTAGAAGCTAACTGCCTAGCAGCTGTATTCTTTTAATTTGATATATAGTGATCATACTTATTTATATGGTACAATATGACATATATATATGTATATATATATATAAATGTGTAATGATCAGATTAGGGTAATTGACATATCTGTTCAAAATCCTTTTTCCTAGTCGTTTGAAAAGCTCAAATTAATTGTTTACTGTTGTTATCCTGCTGTGTTCTGGGACATTAGAAGTTACTCCTATACATTAGCCAAGTCAGGCTCTTCTATTTCTGCCACTGGGTATTTCCTGAAGAAAAATTTCAAGAATTTTTATAGTTGAATGATTGTTGATATTTATGACATAGCAGAGTTGTGCAGTAGATGTGTTTTTCCTACTTCTTTTATATATGTACATATATGTGTATATATATACATATGTATATGTATATTTAGTTGTAGATGGGTAGAATCCTTTTATTTTATTTATTTATTTTTATATGGTGTGGAGGATTGAACACAGTGCCTCAAACATGCTAGGCAAGTACTCTACCACTGAGCCACAACCCCAGCCCCTTCTTATAACTTCTTAATGAATCATTGCTCCCAAATCAACTATCTCAGTATTAGATATTCCCTCTTAATGATGCACAGAACTAAATAAGACATAAAGCAAAATAATATTTATTTATTTTTTTAAAATATTTTTTTAAAGAGAGAGAATTTTTTTTAATACTTATTTTTTAGTTTTTGGCAGACACATCATCTTGTTTGTATGTGGTGCTGAGGATCGAACCCCAGCCGCACACATGCCAGGCGAGTGCGCTACCGCTTGAGCCACATCCCCAGCTCCACAAAATAATATTTAAATAGACTTGTCCTATCTTCTGAAATAGTTTAATGTTGTCATGTAATTAAAACAAGAGGGTATTCTAGTGATCTTAAGTATTCTCTTAATTTTTCTGTAAATATATGAGCTGCTATATTTATCTGCTTATAGATTCATATGATCCAGATTCATATAATGTGGAGATAAAAGGTGGGTGTTATTTCAAGGCCAGTGGAAAAGAGAGGAAGAATCTTTGGCTGGATTTAGATAAAAAACAGAATTGGAAATTATGTAAAAGAATAGTTATACAAATATGTGTGGGTATATAATAAGCAGGAAAATAAAAAAGTGATTTTGAGATGTTTTGAAAGAATAGGGCACTGTAGAGCTAAGTTTTAAGACTGAAGGGAGGAATTTATCAACTTTATTTTAACTTGAGAATAGTTTGAAAAGCTGGTAGACAAAATGTTAGAGGGCAACTTTAGGGGAAATGTGTGATTAGAGTTAGTGGATAGCAGTCAATAGTGCTATATGGAAGATGTCCAGGACCCAAAGTAGTAAATTTATTTCAAAATAAAGAAAAAATAAATGTAGGCCAGTTTATTTTTTTACATCAAGAGATTATAAGTTTTGTCAACTATAGAAATGATAGAATAAATCTAACATAATTTTCTCGTGTACAAATATGAAAATACTCAGGTTAATTCCCATTATCCTGCCCACTCACAAGAATAAGGTCCTAATTAGAATGAGATATATTTCTTGCTTGTATAATTTTACCAGACAAAACAAAAAGAGAGTTTAGACTCAGGGAGACCATTGTTCTGAATTGTGTCAACATTTAAGTTTTTTATGTAAATGAGGAGATGGGAAGGTTGTCAGACATTGGTCTTTGAGGTGATATGACCTTACCAAGAAACTTGGAAAACAGTCTTAGTATATACTTTGTCTTTGTAGTCACAGAAAAAGATTTTCTTTTTTTGAAAGTCCACAAGAATTACATCTATTGCAGTGCTAGAATTGCAAATCTACCAAGGAGAAAGATCCAATTTTGAAAAATAATGGTTTATTCTGTATTTTAGCAATGCCAGTGACCTGATTTATTTATTTATTTTTAATGCTAACTATGTAACAGGTGCTGTAGTAAAAGAAAGGCATAGCTCTTGTAGAAAACATAGAAAGTTCGTAGAGTTTAAATTTTAGAGGCAGACAGACCAAACAATAACAGTAAGAGGTGATAATTACCATAATGCAAAATATATATTGTTGTATAGAGGAAGTATTTTCTTAAGTCTGTTTGTAGTGTCAGGGAAGGCCTTTGATGAGGTAATATCTGAAATAAGGGAAAAGCTGTTGAGCCTATAGCTTGTTCAGAGAACATAAAGTATGGTTTGAATGTGGCAAAAGAGAAGCAAGCCAAGTGATTAGACTAGAAAATTGACAAGAATTTGGTCATGAAGGACTGGATTTGCCACATTGAGTTTAGATTTCATCCTATAGGCATTTTGGAGCCACTATGGCTAATAACATCAAATGTGTAATAATAATCAAAATCTCCTGTTTTCCTTCAACTATGACTATATGAATAGTAAGAATTTTTTGTTGATATTGAAGAGACAAAATGTACTTCAGGATAAGAAACTGTTGAGGAAAACAATCTGTCAAAAAAGTATTGTTGGAATACTTTTTAGTATGTACTATTACAGGAAAAATGTGTTCATTCATTTAGTATTCAAACAGTTTAAAATCCTAATGTTTATAATATGATATATAGTATAGTAGTAAGTGGCAAAAGTGTTTTCCTCATCCAGATCAATTTTATGTTATACATGTGATGCGTAGGTAGAAGTAGCTAGATAAATCACTGAATTCAGTGAGCTGCAGAATTCAAAAGATGTTATATTCATAACAAAGAAAACAAAAGCAAACTTTGGAAAAAATTTGCTTCTTTTGAAGAAAAAATTATGAAATTCTTAAGAGAGGAAGCAACATTCAAAAGTTAAGTTACGAGTTGGGGTTGTGGCTCAGTAGTAGAGCACTTGTCTAGCACGTGTGAGGCACGGTTTGATCCCTAGCACCACATTAAAAAAAAACTAAATAAACAAAATAAAGATATTGTGTCCATCTACAATTAAAACTATTTTTTAAGAAATTAAGTTAGCATTATTCAATGATCTTACTTCATAAATAAATTTGTAAATAAGATTTTTTATCATTGATTATACCTAAATAAAAGCCCCAGGAATAACTTTGAATGTGAAGAATAATACTAAGGGTAAGCCTTGGAATTTTTCATTATTGGATGGCTTTAGACCAGTCAAGTTCCTCTAGAATTTTTTTCAGTGGATAACACACGTCTCCTGAACCTTTTCTGAACATCACGTAGAATTTTTATAGATTTATGGTTCTTCACCATAGCCCTGATACAGTTGGGAGATTCCTAGGCAAAATCATTTTATACAACAGGACAAAATTTTGCAGTGTTTGTTGTTTGGAAATTTCTTTAAGACCTTCAAGACCATGTAAAATTCACCCTTTTTCAGCAGAACTTAGATATTATATTATTGCTGGCTGTTTAGTTTCCAGAAATATTACTTATTTTGGTGTTTGGCCAGGTAGTGCTAAAAGTAACTGTAAAGTGTGGTTGGAATAAAATTTTGACCTTTATATATTACTCTCAGAAGCAAATACATTTGTATTTGATTCTGAACTTGCTCAATTTTTTTTAAAGAAAGAGAGAGAATTTTTTTAAATATTTATTTTTCAGTTTTTCAGTGGACACAACATCTTTATTTTATTTTTATGTGGTGCTAAGGATCGAACCCAGCACCCCGCACATGCCAGGCGAGCGCATTACCACTTGAGCCACATCCCTAGCCCTGAATTTGCTCAATTTGAGAGCTACAATCTGCCATTCACCCATTAGTTATTTGTAAAGCATCTTAAAAGTTAACATTTTATAGAAGGGAGTTCAGGGGAATAAGGAAGGGAATATAGAGGGGAAGGGAGGAGAGGGACAGGAAAAGAGAGGAACTGTGGAATGAAATTGACCAAATTATGCTATGTGCATTTATGACTATACCACGGTGAATTTTACCTTTATATTTGTAAAGCACTATTTGAAAAAAAAAATGAATAGGGCACTTTTGCTCCTCCCTGGTACACACTGTTTTGGGAATTCCGAGTCTTTCATCCTCCTTTTTAATATAATTCCTACTCACTCTTGCAGTAGAGTTGAAGAAGGGAACAGTGGGAGGGAAAGAGGAAGTACTGGGGGTTGAAATGGAGCAAATTATAGTTCACTCATGTGTGATTATGTCAAAATGAATCCCAATATTATTTATAACTAAAATATTTTTAAAATTCGCCTTTTAGAACTTTAAAATATATATATATATATTTAGTTGTTGATGGACTTTTATTTTGTATTTATTTATATGTGGTGTTGAGAATTGAAACCATTGCCTCACACATGCCAAGCAAGCACTCTACCACTGAGTCACAACCCAACCCCAGCCCCTGGAACCTTTATCATCATATTATTTTAGGGGTCATATAACTTCTGTCCTAGGCATTTCTTTTTCTAAGAATTTATAAAATAGCAAATATAAAAACAATTTTCTCTGATTTTTTTTATTTTAGTTTTTGTTAATTTTAAATTGTGACAGAATATACATATAATATACTTATAATAGAATATAAATGAAATTTACCATTGTAACTCGTTTTGAGTATATACTTCACCAGTATCTAAATTGTTAGGCTTTCATATTGTTGTATAATCATCACTATCATCCATTTCTCATTTTCTGAAAGAGCTCCTCCCTGTTAAACAATAACTTAACACTCATTTGCCCCCACCCCTTGTCAGTCACCGTTTCATTTTGTATTAACTTGGTTACTCTAGATACCTCACTTAATGGAATTATATAGTATTTGTCCTTTTGTGTTTGGCTTTTTTCCTTAGCCATGGATAAAACTTTTATCAAGTTTTATCCTTTTATCCATGTTATAGCGTTTTTCATTTTCTTTCTTTTTAAGGCTGAATAGTATGCCACTATGTGTGTATACCCCTTTCTGTGTCAGTGGACACTTGGACTGCTTTTAGTTTTTGGCTGTTGGAAATAATAGCCGTGAACATGTGTATATAAATATCTATTTGAGTCCCTGCTTTTGTTCTTTAGTGTATCTACCCAAAATTGGAATTGCTGGATCATATGGTAATTCTGGTTTTTTGGTAGGAATTGTCATACTGTTTTCCATAGTGGTTGGTATTTTACATTCCCACCAGCAGTACTCAGGAATCTAATTTTCTCACATTAGCATCAGCATTTGTTGTTTTTATTTGATAATGATTATCCTTTAAGGAGGGAATTTTAATTTTTCTATTTTCATTATGTGTAGCTTATTTTGGTCTTTGATAGGACTTTAACTTGTTTAGAACTATGGTTTTATTAGTGTTCTTATAAGATTTTATTATTCTTTGTTTTATTGTTTTCTTGTTCAGTAACTTGTTGGGTGTACCCTTTTCCTCTATTTTAATTTTTCCATATAAGCCTGTCTCTTTTTAAGATGAGAAATCACCAAGTATCAAGTGAAAACCATGAGGAATGTAAGGAATAACATATTAAGAACTTAAGCTCTCTGGTGGCATATGTACAACTTTAAGGTCCATGCAGTTTTCCTTCTCATGCAAATAACTTTTTCTCCTTTCCCTCCATATCCCAGTTTCCATATCCTAAGAATATTATGGTAATCTGCTAGCTTAGAAATCTAGTTACTGTAACACAATTAAAAGTAATTTTATGCCCATGACAGTTTGAGAACTATATGTAAAGATAAGAGAACTTATTTTTAAATGAAAAAAAGATATGTTGATTATTGTTTAGTCTTCATAGTCTTTTTAGACTATGCAATAAAAATTATTTTAATGCCAAACTTTTTTATGCTCTGGAGCTATCGTAGCCACTAAATTTTCAATTGCACTAGCTACATTTCAAGTACTCACTAGCAACATGTAGGTAGTGACTACCATGTTCAACAGTGCTGATACAGAATGTTTGATTTGAAGTTATCCAACTTTAAATTTTAAATCTTATTCTTGTTTCCATCTTGACATTCTTATTCATTTCTATCCTTTAAGGACCTGTGAAATTCACAAAGAAAGCCTAGCTATTTATGAACATTCAGAATTCTTAAAGTTGTTAATGTTTAAATTATGTTGAGATTTAGTAGAACTTCGTGTATTTTAAGGATAAAGAGAATTTTTATCATGTATATTAAAAATGTGCTAAAGGGTGAGTTTCTTAAAGTAATATGAGTGAAGAAACAGTGGCTCTGGGGCTTAGAAAAGGGAAGTGTGTCTGTTTTGTTTAAAGGCGGAAAAATACAAGACAGTTGAATTGGGGACTTTATGGTAAATTAGAAGTCATAAGTTTTTAAAAGTATTTTTAGTTGTATATGGACACAATATCTTTATTTTTATTTATTTATTTTTATGTGGTGCTAAGGATCGAACCCAGGGCCTCATGCTGGGAGGCAAGTACTCTACCAGTGAGCTATAACCCCAGCCCTGAGTCATAACTTTTTATAATAACACTGCCATTTTATTTTCTGATTAGTTCAGAAATTATGCATAGATAGAGGCATTAAATTAAAAATTTGTGATTACTCTGCCTAGTAAGCTAAGCTAGTTGTTTACTAGACCAAAAAAATTAGTATTTTTTATACTCCAAATTATCTTCTCTTTCTCTCCAAGACTCTGACATCCTATTCATATCTAGTAGTTTTACATTTCTGGTAATTGTTTTAAATATTATGTTGTCCTTATAATTTTGTTTTCATAAAATGTTGAACTTTGTACACTGAATGGCAGTATGTTCAAATTGTAAAGCAACAGAAATTGAATATTACAATTTGAAAAAAAATTGACATATAGAGTATAAATTTGGGCTTTGTAAGTTTCTTAATGATCAAAGAGCCAGTCTCTCCTTTTGTGAGTGTATTGTCTTTACTAGTAGTTCAGTAATTGGCCCTGGAGATTCATCTAAGCTAGGCAAGGCAATACTGTCTATTTTGTATGCACTTCTCATTTGGTAGCTGCAAGAATACAATTATACTAGCAGTTGGATTACAATATAAGAGATGTAGACAGAGGCAGAGATTAAGATGCACGTTAAATATTATTTAACTATTACTGGAAGGAAAAATTAAGTTTGTATTTTAATATTTTATTTTTTATAAAGCTTTTAAAAAAGTTACACAATAAAGAATTCTCGCCTTTATTCCATTTGATTACATGTGTATTTATATATACATAGTTAAATTTTGCCCTTGGTAACTCTATATTATGTTAGAAACACCAAATATTTATTATATTACCTTATAAATGTTGAACGGGCCACAAAAAGTGATTTTCTTTTTATTAAGATTGATAGCATGAAGATGTGAGAATGTATTGTAAGCCTGAAGTAAAAATTGCTTAAAATTTTTTTTCCCCAAGAAGAAAGACTGTGTTGTTTGGTGATAGCCAGGGACTGACTGAGCATTTTGGCTGTATTCCGAATTCTGCCACTGACTCACTGTGTTTTTTGGCAAGTAACTTATCCTCCCTGAAACAAGTTCTTGATTCTTTACTTCTCTGTTTGTAAAGTTAGCATAATAATATTGTGCTGACCTCAAATAGGTTGTGTAATGGTTTCCCACTTTAGAACTTGCCAGCATAGTAGGAATTTTCAGTGCATTGCTTTTTTAAATAAATATTTCCAAATTGTTATCTCTGTATTAGGTAAGTGTATTAGATACTTTAAGTGTAAAATAAATCCCCACTGTACTATTCAAAACATAGCTAAGCCTGATGAGGTTTCAGATATATACAACATTTTAAGGATGATACCCTGCATTGTATAAATGATTATTTTATTCCTTTATTTTAGTGTCAGAAAAAAGAAGAATTTATTGAAAGAATTCAAGGTTTAGATTTTGATACAAAAGCAGCAGTTGCCGCACATATTCAAGAGGTAATGACCTATATATAAATTTGTATGTACTTTTTATGAGGCTTTTGATATATTTATTTATATATCTCCTGAAATACTTAGTCATAGGGTGGTGAACAAGATTGAGATAAAATATAAATGAATTCTACTTTTTTACAGGTAATTTCTCTTTTGAAGAGATAGTCCTCAAGGGCATCATCATATAACATGGCATGGTGCTAACTACAAATGTATTGTTGCCTTTGTCTGTGAGGACTTAGGGATAAACTGTTATTTGAGGAATGAGGTGTATGACTTTGTTAGCACAGAATAAATTGTATAGTAGTAAAGGAAAGCAGCAAAAAGTAGAACCCTGATTGTAATTCAAAATATCAATACAATGATATTTTGTAACATTGATATAAAAATTTAAATCTAGAGTATAAAGTGCAGTGTCAAATAAATAAAATTAATATAATTGTTAATAAATATTATTTTAAAAATGCTTTTTCTGACTCTTATCTACTCATGGGCTTTTAATCTTACAAAAACTTTTAAAATCAGAATATATTAATTTTGCATGTTAATTGGAAAAGGGGAAGGAGAGAATTTTGAAGACTGAGAATTGGTAGTGTTTGAAATGTTCTCTATTTCGATGACTTTGTGTTTCATATGTAATCTTTTATCTTAGTTAACATCCATAGAGCCCAGATTTCTTTATGTTTAGTAGTAAGTTTATTAGTACTTGACAAAATGAAGTGTTATTTGTAGTTCCCCTTTATATATATGTTGTGCTACCTTTGTGGGGTTTTTTTCATTTCACATAAATGTTAAGTATTAAAAGTTACTGAATTTGCAACCATCCTTGAAAGTGATATTTTTCTATTTGTTGTGGAAGTTAAAGCAAAATACCAGATTCATGGTAAGAAATGGAAAGCAAGAAATAAATACTTTCTTTTTTTTTTTTTAAAGAGAGAGGGGGGGAAGAGAGAGAGAGAGAGAGAATTTTTAATATTTATTTTTTTTTAGTTTTTGGCGGACACAACATCTTTGTTTGTATGTGGTGCTGAGGATTGAACCCCGGCCGCATGCATGCCAGGCGAGCACACTACCGCTTGAGCCCAGCCCTTTATTTTTCATCTTTTAAATATCTTCTTTTTTTTTAAATAATTTTTTAATTGCCAATGGACTTTTATTTATTTATATGCAGTACTGAGAATCGAACCCAGTGCCTCGCACATGCTAGGCAAGCGCTCTACCACTGAGCCACAACCCCAGCCCTTAAATATCTTTATATTGAGAGTCTTTTCTCTATGATTCTGTGACCATGCCATCTTGAGAATCTACAAAGACTTTTCAAGTATAAGAATGCAGTAACATACCCTCTAAATTAAAAAAAAAATTGCTTTTGAATTCAAGTGTAATAAATTTAAAGTCTTTTTTTATATTTACTTTTTAGTTATATGTGTACACAATATCTTTTTATTTTATTTTTATGTGGTGCTTAGGATTGAACCCAGTGTCTCACGCATGGTAGGCAAGTGCTTTACCTCTGAGCCACAACCCCAGCCCCAAATTTAAAGTCTTATCTGAAGAAAAGTACAATAGATTTTGTTATGGCAGTGTCCAGTATGTCAATTTTAGCTTCCCATAGGAGTGCTGTGAATTAAATTTTATTTTTTTCATTGATTAGAAAGTGAATATTAATTCATTTGAAGACTACATTTAGTATAAAATAATTTCAGTTGTGTTTTCATTCATTTTCAAGTGTACCTTTAGAGTCATCATATTGGCCTTTTATTTTATTGCATAATATTTGAGCTAATATTGTGCTAGTACAAAATATAATAAATATTTAAATGTAAGCCTGTTTTTGATTATTTATTTTGCTTGTCCTTCTAAAGGTAACACATAATCAGGAAAATGTGTTTGATCTGCAATGGATGGAAGCAACAGATATGTCTCAGGAAGATATAGAACCACTCTTGAAAAATATGGCATTGCATCTAAAAAGACTTATAGATGAAAGAGATGAACATTCAGAGGTTTGTAAATTTCAATGTATTATTAAAGTTTTCTTTCTGAGAACAGAAACTAGTATCTTCAGAAGTTTTCTAGAATTGATACTCTATTTCTTAAGAGAGGGTAATAAAATATGATCATCCATTGGCATCCATTGGGATTGTTTCCAGGACCACAGAGCATTTCAAGTTCTGTGAATGTTCAAGTCTCTTATATAAAATAATTCAGTATTTGCATATAACCTACACATAACCCAACACATCCTCTTGTATACTTTAAATCATCTCTATATTACTTGTAATTAATACTGTGTAAATAGTTGTTATACTGTGCTGTTTAGGGAATAATAACAAGAAAAAGTCTGCATATACTCAGTACAAACATTTTTCTTTCCTGAATATTTTCCATCCATATTTGGTTGAATCTGCAGATGTGGAACCCACATGATGGGCCAACTGTAGTGTGTGTGTGTGTGTGTGTGTGTGTGTGTGTGTGTGTGTGTGTGAGAGAGAGAGAGAGAGAGAGAGAGAGAGAGAGAGAATGTGTGTGAGACCGCAGGTGTGTATATGTGTATGTGAAATACAGAAACCAGAAAGGAAATGTAAGAACCTCAAATTGTTAGTTAATGAATTGCAGTTAAGTTTTCTTTTCTCCTTTCCTTTTAAATTAGTATTATTCTGATTTTTTTCCTGTGTGTTTTTCAAATCATCCTCACAGCTCTGGCAACAGTACAGAAGTGTGAAACTGAAAATATAGTTGATGTAAGTGGAAAAATCATTGCCTTGAAGCATAAGAATTTGCTTAAGGTTAATTTCTTAGTTTTATAGCCACATTTTGAAGTTGGAAGAATAAGTATTAATAAAAGGAGAAAAACAGGTGTTCTGAATAAAAATGTCCCACAAAGATTTCAAATTTTTGTAGTCAATATTATGAAGTATGATTTTTTAAAAAAATAATTATTGTAAGCTCCTTTAAAGCAGAACTTTGCTTTTTAAAAAGAGTAATATTACACTGAACTTTTTTTCTGCACTCTCTGAAAGCAAGTTGAAATTTTGGAGCCCTCTAAACTTTAGTGCATATGCAGTGGTGAATAATATTTTCTTATAGCAGACAAAAATACTTTTCCATTCAGAAGAATGTATAGCTGTGAATAGTTGTTCCATATACATGTGACAGACAGTTTTGAGCTTATTTATAGAGAATTTATGTGATTACTCTTGGGACTAATGAAAGACTACATAGAGGAAATTCCTAAGTAATTTTTTTTCTAAACAAAATTTTCATGCCCCTATAAAAGTATTTTATTTCTGATGAGAATTTTCAATTTTTTAAACATTAAAAGAGTAGAAAACATCCGTAGTGTATATCAAGTTTATCCTAAGATACTTAGATCATTCATTTTTTTATCTGATTTTTTAACCATAGGCTTTATCTTCTTTCAGTTTTAATGTCTTTTTACTGCTTTATCCATTATCTAAAACATTTCTCCATTTGTATTTCAAATTTTTAAGGGTGTTTCAATACGGTGCTCCTAAATAACTTTTAAAAATTCATACTGTGGTTTCATATGATATGGACATGCATAAATTGCTTTATCTTGTTTACCTTAAGTGATTAATATAGGTTGAACAAAAGTACTTGTCATTATGTGACTCTGAGGCAAATCTAAAAGGAAGATGAAACACTACATGAAGTGATTGTGTGGAAAACCTTTTAGAATATACCATCCTGCCCGATTAAGCATTTTTATTGAATTACTTTTTCTAACAAGGAAAATAAAAAGCAGCTGTACTACTATCTCAGGTATTTGGGGAACCAGTTGCTAGCTGGTTTAAATACATTTCTATGGAGATTTTCCCCCCCCCCAATTGGAGCCACCAATAGACAAATTAGAAAAGGCCATTGAAAATAATTGTGAAAAATATTAGACAAATGTAAAATATATAACAGTATATAAATATAATAATTCTGTATCTAAATATAAATAAACTATATCCTTATTTTTTTGAGAGAGTTATTCTTGATAAATTGCCCAGGCTGGCCCTAAACTTGTGATGCTCCTGCCTCATCTTCCTAAGTAACTGGGATTATAGGCATGCATCATTGTGCCCATCCCCAAAACAAGTTCTTATCTATGTTTTACTCTTAAAGTTTAATGTTTTGATTCATTTTTGTCATAATTGTCTAAAAAGTATATTTGATCACCCTATTTTAAATTTGCTTTTTACTTTGTAATACTTAAAATTTTAAATTTTACTTTTTTATTCTTTTTGTTTTTTGTTTTATGGTGCTGGGAATTGAACCCAGGTCCTTATGCATGCAAGACAAGCATTCTACCAACCGAGCTATATCCCTAGCCCAACTTTTTTATTCTTGAAATTTAAAAAAAAATTTTTTTTGTAGTTATAGATGGTATTTTATTTGTTTCATTTTTATGTGGTGCTAAAAATCAAACCCAGTGCCTCACAGATGCTAGGCAAGCACTCTGCTACTGAGCTACAGCCTCAGCCTCTACTTTTTTATTCTTAATGCTAAGGAACAGTTCTTCTACTGTGTACCCAGTAGGAGACTTGAATTAATTTAGTATCTCTTAAGTGTCATTGTTTCTTTTATGCCAGACTTTGTACTGCAAGTCTTAATACATACTGTCTTATTAAGTCTGCATAATAACCATGTTTTATAAAGATGATGATACTCATCCTCTGAGAAGTTAAGTAACTTCCCAGGTCTAACTTAAATGCTTGTTTTCCTAACCATTAGAATACCTTTGTTTAAATCCCCAATTGTGCTAAGAATATCTCTAATTCTTTCTCTTAATGATGAGTTCTGTAAGTAAAAATATTGGGTTACTTAAAATTTTTTTTCTTAGCATTGGTGTATTTTTTAAAAATATTTTCCTCTAGTTGTCAGTGGACCTCTATTTTATTTATTTGCAGTGCTGAGGATCGAACCCAGGGCCTCACACATGCCAGGCAAGTGCTACCAGTGAGCCACAGCCGCAGCAGCATTGATGTATTTTTTATGGTCATTCTTTTATATATTAATAAACACTTTTTTTCCCCAAAAAATCTTGAAGATTGAACCAAGTGGCAATTTCCTGCTAAACTTCATCCTCATCTTTTTCATATTTTAATTTGACACAGAATTTCATTAGATTGCTTAGGGTCTTGCTACATTATACAATTGTCCCTGAATTTGTGATCCTTCTGATTCAGACTCCCAAGTCAAATCATTGAGATTGGGAACAACAGAGTGTTATGCTGTTTGAAAAAGAATCAAAGGTTCTTAAATCTAATACAGAAGACTTTTAATAAAATAATTAATGGTAATAAAAATTTAGAAGTGATAAGTAGCAAAAGTGCTATAGATCTAAATACTATAGGAATTTAAAGAAGGAATATTTATTTGCAGAAGGATCAGGCAAAACTTATGAAAAATTAAGAGTTATACTTTAATGATATTTCCCATCAGATTGTTTTGAAAATGTATGAGAGGCCTTGAACTTATAAAGCTACCACCAATAAAGAAAAGTCAAAATCTCTAAATAATCTTTAATGGAAATAAACTCTTAGCACCAAGTTTCTTTCTCTCTTTATTTTCTTTTAAAATATATCTTGTAGCACATGATTCTTCTATGTTCTGTTCATTGATAATCTGAAAACTCTTGATATCTCCATTTCACCACCTATAAATGATATATTTGTCTTTTTTACTTTGCTTGAGTTTTATATTTTGTGAATAACTTAGTTGAATATTCTTGTTCATCTCTTTTTGTGCTTAGTACTATTCTAGAAAAGATGAAGTTTGTACATGAAAAGTGTGAATCTAGTGTATAATTAGGTACCAGTTTATTTGTGTATGAATCAAATACTTATTAAATATTGTCTGCCAGGTACTGTTGTTACAAGTTAGGAAATATTAGCAAGATCAAAGATGATTGGGTTAGTAAGAAAATATAGAACTGAAAGTTGACTCCAAGTCTGGGCCACTATGGAGATTAATGACACTATCCACAGAGACGGGAAAGTTGAGGTGGGCATACTGGGTAGGCGGACAGGGTTAGAGTAGTGTCAGTGAACATGTAAACTACCTTTCAAAAAGCAGCAATAAAGAAATTTTTTAAAAAAATATTAAAAACCTGTATCTATATCTTTGAAGAACAAGGAGAAAAAAAAAACAAGTGAAAAAGAAATTGAAAATGTTTAAGTAAAGGATATATTATTGGGAGCAAAAAAAATACTTAGAAAGGGAGGTGTTAATCCCAGGTGGTTTTGTTTCATGGATAAATTGGAAAAGAGGTTATTTGTTGTAGATGATAATATTTTACAGTTGGAGACTTAAGTAGAGACAAAGGAAATATATTTATAATAGTCTTTTGGGGGAAATTTACCAGGATATCAAGATTTCAATAAAGGAATTGATGAATAATGGAAAGAGTTTCATTGGAAGTGGGTGGCAAAACTTATAGTAGGGTTGTATAATTTTTTCTTTTAGAGTTCTATACCTTAGAAAACTGATGGTAGATAAAGAAAATCATGTTAGATTCAAACTTGAATTTTAATTTCTCCTATATGTATCATTGGTTGTATGACTTTGGTTGAGTTATTTGATTTATAGGAGTCTCTTTTCTTGTGTCTAAAATAGACAATACCTCTATTGCAGATTATAATATTGCATGAGATCTTGTTCAAGAATGCCCTAGCTAGGAATTCTATAACATAAAGGAATGGTCCATCGATAGACAGTGGTATGGTTGTACTAAAATGAAAACTGAGAGTGATAATTTAAGTGTCTAATTGTAGTTCCAAATTGAATAGGAACTCTAGAGTAGCTAGGAATAATCTGTTGGACAAGAGGGGAGGAGATTAGCTGGGCTCCTTGTCGCATGCCTGTAATCCCAGCAGCTTGGGAGGCTGAGACAGGAGGATCATGAGTTCAAAGCCAGCCTCCGCAAAGGTGAGGGGCTAAGCAACTCAATGAGACCCTGTCTCTAAATAAAATATAAACCGGGGCTGGGGATGTGGTTAAGGGGTTGAGTGTTCCTCAGTTCAATCCCCAGTACCCCTCCCCCACAAAAAAAAGAGGGAAGGAGTTTAGTAATCAGAGGTTCAAACAGGTATGGTGACTTAGGAACAGTGAGTAAAGGAGGCATGCCACAAAAGAATGATTGGTGCCTTTACTGGAGAAACCTGCTTGTATTGAATATGCAGTGGATGTGGAGTTGTGGAGAGAAAAGGAACTGGTAAGTTACTTTCTGAGGTTGGTTATGTGTAGTAGAATTTGTGAAAGCAATAATTGCAGACAGAAAGTTAAGACAGATCTTGATCAGGGGCTGAAATGTATCCCAGTAATAAATGACTTCTGGTTAAAACAAACAAAAAAAAATAATGATTCAGTGGGGTGGATAAGAGCTGGTGATGAGAAATAAGGATGGTGGTTTCATTGTCTCATGCAGTAACTCCACCCACTCTGTCTACAGTAGTAGCACATTTGAATTTGTGTAGAAGATAATTTGTTTGCCTGAGAAATTTCAAACAAAAACTAAGAAATTCGTTTAGAATAAGAGAAGTTACCAATAAAGAAAAGAAAAATTAGGAGAATGGAAGAACTGTAATTGGTTGCATGAGGTATATAAAGGTTAAACAGCCTTGAAGTTTAGAAAAGGAAAAGTTGGTTTGTGCCTTGTGGAGGGTCTCTGGAGAAAGGAGTAAATAAAGCATTGATGGGAGACAGAATTAGTATAGTATTATAGGAGAGAGAGCATATGATATGGAGTCAAGAGACTAGCTGCTACCTAGTTGTGTAACCATATCCAAATTAGTCTTTATGCTTTGGTTATTTTTACTACAGAAAAAAGAGATTAAACCTGTGAAGTCTTTTATTCCCTCCAGAATAAAATTCTAGAGCAGTATTGTCCAATTCTGTTATTATGGCTGTATTATATTTCCAGTACAGTAATCACTAGCCACCTTTGGCTGTTGTGTACTTGGAATGTGGCTAGAGTGATTAAACAGCTGAATTTTTAACTTTTTAAATATTTAATTAAACAGCCACTTGCTACTGGCTAGTATATTAGACAGCACAGTTCTAGACAAATTATTCTAAGGTAAATTTCTTTCCTGTGTCAACAAGTTTTTTCAGGCCTTTCCAACATTTGCTATCTGAATTATTGTAATTTATTTTTTTTTTAAAACTAGGGAAGCAAGAATGTACTAAATCTTCAAGTGTTACCTACTAAATAGCTCATTCATAAACTGTTTGTTGAATTTAACCTTTTCTTTTTTATTTGTTCTTTTCAGTTATACATGACAGTAGAACGTATTTTGACATATCATACATACATGGAAAATAACTCCCTATTCTTGTGGTTGTACATTTTATGGAATGAAACCTTTAAAAATGCAGCTAAATATAATAGTCTTTTGACCAATGAATTTTTTAAAAATATTATATTATAAATCTTAGACCCATTAAATAGTGTAAATATGTTTAGTTTGCTGATAGAATAATAAAAGTGACTCTGTGTTTATTTCTCTAATTCTTAGACTATCATAGAGCTCTCTGAAGAGAGAGATGGTCTTCATTTTCTACCCCATGCCTCTTCATCTGCACAATCACCCTGTGGTTCTCCAGGCATGAAGCGAACAGAAAGTCGACAGCATCTGTCAGTGGAACTGGCAGATGCTAAGGCCAAAATAAGAAGGCTTAGGCAGGAACTGTAAGTTGCTGGTTTTCAAAGTTCATTGAATTTATATGGTGACCTAAACAATATTTTTAGGCTTACAGAATACAGATCAATGTCCCACCATTGCTAGTATTTGTCAAATTTTTCACTAGTATTTGTCAAAATGAGAAAAATAGAGACTGGCATAAGGTTTTCCCAGTATTGGTTTTTACCAATTTAAAGGTTGCCTTTATTCTGGATTTTTTTTTCTTTCTGTTTTTCTAGTGTTAAAATATCATTTATTTTATAAAATAGTGTCCTTCTTTGGAAAATTGGGGAATGCCTTAATTTTTAAATTTTTTTTATTCCTTAAAATCTAGAATTCTGGGAATCACTGATATAGATTAATAAGTTCAGTTATTTTAAAATTAATGTTTTAAATTATTAGCATATAATAGTATAAAAACAATTTTTGCGTGTATCGTCTGCATTACATAATTGAGATGCTTAAGTCATCTGTTTAGTAAATCAAATATTCTGATTTGGTTAGAGTTGATAACATTATATTTTTTCAGCTTTCTAAGATATTACAGGAAAATTGATATAAATGCCACATATACATTTCTTAGTAAAACACAAGTCAAATCTCTGCTGTTGATTTTTTATTTGGTACTTTAAAAAGAACAAAGGATTTTTATTTTAGGGCCTTTTTCCTCTTTTTGGTGTGTTCCTGAAATTTGAGCTTCAGAGTGTAGATAGTAAATTTAAAAGCACAATATAGCAATTAAATTTATTTAGTGGTTATTTAAAGCAGCTAAAGAAAATGATTTGAATATGCAAGGTAGAAAAATATTAGTCTATAGGAAAACTTGAAAACAACAAAAAAATAACAGCTTTCATTTGTGGATGTCTGCATTACTATGTGTCTATTGAAGTGAACACGCCCAGGATATTCTATAAACAGCTGCACCAGGAAAATTAGGGAAAAGATTGCTGTTATTAGTTTGACTGGCAGTTAATGGATAGCCTAAACATTGAACACTAGTTCTTTCCATATAATTTAGCACAATCTTTGCCAGTCTTTAGATAAAGCATGCAATTAGAATGGCAATGATGGCCTTGAATTCGCTTAACATTTTGCACTATACTAAAATTTAATTTTTAAATAAAAATCACTTGGCCTTGTATTCTATTAAACAGGGATTGACAAAATTTGGTTTCATATATACTTACTAAAAATGTAAATGAGTATTTTAATGGATAAATAAATATGCCAGATATATAAGCAAGTATTTCCAATAACTAGCACTTCATCATTACCATTTAATATCTTTGTTATCCTTTGAAAATGTGTCTTTTCATGAATTTCTTATATTAACATTTGTTTAAAGTCTTTTTATTCCAACAGATTTTTACTAAAGTGAAGTAGCCATCTTCAGAATTCTTTATGCACAAAAATAGTCTAGGTAGTTTTATACCTAACAAAACTCATACAATAAGTGATGGTAATTAGAATGTGCAATTAAGTGGTATCATTTATGGGTGATACATTATAATATTGCCTTTGATTTATAAACATTCGGAGTAAAAGTATGATTTATCATTTGGATAGTAGAAAAAATTCCTTGTAAATTTCACCTTAATATATTTGTTACACTTTCAAAGACTGCCTTTAGTAATATATGTATATATATGTGTGTGTGTGTGTGTGTGTGTGTATAATATATCATATATTTGTTTTTGTTTTGTTTTGCTTTGTTTTTGGACTAGAGATTGAACTCAGGGCTCTCAACCACCGAGCCACAATCCCTAGCCCTTTTTATTTTTTATTTTGAGACAGAGTCTCGCTAGGTTTCTTAGTTGCTGAAGCTGACTTTTAACTTATGTTCTCTGGCCTTAGCCTCCCTAGTGCTGGGATTACAAGGGTGCACCACCACATTCAGCCCTTAAGTAATTCTTAATGCTTCATTGATTTCATGTTTTGAAAGTTTCTGTAATATAAATAATTCTTTTAAAATACAGATTATTGAACACTGGGTGTGGTGCCACATGCCTGTAATCCCAGCGGCTCCAGAGGCTAAAACAGGAGGATCTTGAGTCTAAAACCAGCCTCAGCAACGGTGAGGCACTAAACAACTCAGTGAGACCCTGTCTCTAAATAAAAATACAAAATAGAGCTGGGGATGTGGCTTAGTGGTCACATGCCCTTGAGTTCAGTCCCCAGTACCAGAAAAGAAAATAGTCTATTGAGATATAATTCAGTATCTGAAAATTCATCCTTTTAAAGTGTATAGTTAAGTGCTTTTAATTTACAAAGTAGAAATGCTCAGTGACCACACAATAATTGCAAGACTTTTTAAAAAAATATTTATTTTTAGTTGTAGTACAATACCTGTGTTTTATTTATTTATTTTTATGTGGTACCCAGGGCCTCTCATGTGCTAGGCAAGTGCTCTACCACTGAGCCACAACCCCAGCTCCAAGAAATTTTTATTTTTATGATATTTTTTGATGTTTTTTTTTTTATTTTTTTTTTGATGTTTTTTAAAAACATATTTTATACCTATCCCTCTTTTCCCTCAGCTTCTGGCAGCCAGTACTCTATTTTTTTTCCCATGGATTTGCCTATTCTGGATATTTCATGTAAATAGGATCATATAATATATGGCTTTCTGTGATTTGCTTCTTTTACTTAGCATAATGTTTTCCAGTTCCATCCCTGTTATAGCAAGTACTTCAGTTTTTTATGGTTGAATAGTATTCCATTGGATGATTATCTCACATTTTGATTTTTCATTCATTAGATGATTGGAGTTTGAGTTGTTTTCCACTTTTTGACTATTACAAATAATGCTGCACTTTAAAATGATTAGAGCAGCTGGGAGCAGTGGTGCATTCCTTTAATCCCAGCTACTGAGGAAGCTGGAGCAGGAGAATTACAAATTAAAGGCTAGTCTGGGCAATTTAGCAAAACCCTATCTCAAAATAAAATTACAAGGGTTAGGAATATAGCCTTGTGGTAGAGCACTTGCCTACCATGTACAAGGCCCTGGTTTCAATCTCCAGTAAAACAACAACAAATTAGATTGTCAAATTTTATATTATATATGTTACCACAATGAAGAAAATAAGTTTAAAAAAGCACTCAACAACAACAAAACTTTGCAAAAAATATTACTAACAACATGAAAGGTAATAGCTTTCTTTTTTGGTACCAGGGCTTGAACCCAGGGACCTTAACCACTGAGCAACATCCCCAGCCCTTTTTGTATTTTACTTAGAGACAAGGTCTCGGCCAAGTTGCTTCGGGCCTCATTAAAAACTCACAATCCTCCTGCCTCAGCCTCCCAAGCTGATAGGATTATGAACCTGTACCACTATGCCTTGTTGGAAATAACTTTTTAGTTAAGGAAAAGACAGACCATCCAGTAGAAAGTTAGAATAAGACATGATCTAAGAATTCACAAAATAGAAATTTTTTTATATTTATTTTTTAGGTATAGATGGGCACAACATAATGCCTTTATTTTTATGTGGTGCTGAGGATCAAACCCAGATCCCATCCATGCTAGGCGAGCGCTCTACCACTGAGCCACAATCCCAGACCAAAAATAGAAATTTTAATATCACAAATGTGGGGAAACAAATTTAGTCTTTCATAGTATTCAAAGGAATACAAATTAGAATAATAATACAACAGTTTTTACTTTTGTCCTCTGCTGTTTGGTATTATCCTTTCTGTAGAGCAGTTTGACAGTATATGTTAAACACTTTTAAACCTACACTTTCAGACATCTGTCCTGAAATATACAGGATTTCATGTGTAATGAGTTTTATTACCTAAACATTCATTACAACGAGGAAATATAACCTTCTTAACAAATTATGGTTCCTCTAACAAAGAATATTTCTTCACCTTTTAAAATTCTGGTTTTGATATGCTTCCTGTTTTTATATGAGATGTGAATAACAGGTTGTTTATACAGTGACCTTTTATTATTATTAAAAAAGAAAATATAGGAAAGTAGAGATAGTGAGTGGAGGCTTACTCTGAACAGATTTGCTCTGAAGGGACATAGAAATACAGTTCAAAAAATAATAGAAGAAATTGAAGACATTTTAAGATAACATTGTAGAAAACAATTAGAGAAGTTTAGAAATCTGTATAGCAAGTAGTGAGTGTATAATTTCCTTTAGACCATTTTGGGAACCCTTGAGAGTCTACCTCAGATAGTATTGCATCAATAAAAAACCTTCCAGCTTCATTGCCATTGACCATGCAAGGTGTGAGCAAGGGAGAAAAAGAAAGGAGAGTTGGGAACAAAAGGGGAAGGAAAGATCGAGAGAGAGACTACATTATAAACTGTGAGAACATTAGTCATTAAAATTAGCCTTTGAAGAACATTGAGGTGGGATTTTGGTGACATCTAGTTATATGCATTCCTAATATCTTTTTCTTTGCTTTTTTTCCCACTGGGTTGGGATTATGGCTAATACTACGTGCAACTGGTCATTTAGAAATAATTCATTTGTATGAATGCAAATGATGATCACAATTTTTAAAAGTATTGTTTATTCTTTAATAAATATATTTTTTTGTGTTTATAAGGGAAGAAAAGACTGAACAGTTGTTGGATTGTAAGCAGGAGCTTGAACAAATGGAAATAGAACTTAAAAGGCTGCAACAAGAGGTTTGTACCTGGAACTGTTGTTACATAAGACCACCAAGTATTAGAAATTGATTTTTCTTCTTGTGATTTATAACTTTGCCTTTAGTTCTTTAAATTATTTAAGTAAAGTAACCAAGCCTTAAAGAACTTGATGATTTTTTTTTAATTCTCTGTCTTCAAAAATAACAGAGCCCAAAAAAGAGCCTATTGGAACTAGGACAGTTCCATCTCTTTTTTATGTTTAGCTTTTGTGGTCTTGGAACATGGAGTACCTCTAGATGCTATGAATTATGCTATTTATGTGTATCTCCCTGGGTCTTTGTTCCCTGATGGTGTGTTCCTTTCACTATCACTTAAAACTAAGTGAAACTGGGGCTGGGGTTGTGGCTCAGTGGTAGAGTGTTCGCCTAGCGTGAGTGAGGTACTGGGTTCAATCCTTAGTGCCACATAAAATAAATAAAATAAAGATTACAAAAAGATGAAGAAGAGAAAATGAACTTGAGGATATAACAATAAATTTAAAAAATAAAAAACTAAGTGAAATTTAAAACTGTTGAAACTTCTTCCCCTGCTTCTGCATAGTTGTGTTTTTTCCTCTTATTGTTACCTAATTGTACAGTATGGCAGGTTTCACTGTGGCACATTCAGATATGTTCATAACATATTTTGACTTTCCCTTGCCCTACCCTCATTCCTCTCCATTTGCTTTTACTATTTTCCTATTAAATAAGATTACTTTTTATTTTTTAATTATATTTTTATTTTAAAGCCTTGTGTTTTGAGGGTTTTGTTATTTTTTTTATCTTGTAAGAATTCACATCTTTTAATCACTCTAATTTTTTTTTCATTTCAGGGTAGTGTATAGGCTCTTAATTCACAAATGATAAGGATTGGGCTAAGATCCCTAATTTCCCGTAATCTACCATCTTAAATGTAGAGAACACTTCATTTGTAGGGTCATGAACTGGGACTTCCTAGATGAATGAGACTGAAAGTCCTATTTCTAGATAAGCTGTGGCTACTATTCTACTTCTTTATGGTAGAGGGATTTTTGTTTTCAGTTTGTTTTTTATATGTGTATGTGCCCTCTAAAAGTGTGGTTCTTAAGCTGGGTGTGGTGGTGCACACCTGTAATCCCAATGGCTGTGGAGGCTGAGGCAGGAGGATCGAAGGTTCAAAGCCAGCCTTAGCAACTTAATGAGGCCCTGAGGAATTCAGTGAGACCCTGTTTCTAAATAAAATCCAAAAAAGGACTGAGAATGTGGCTCAATGGTTAAGTATTCCTGTGTTCAATCCCCAGTATATCCTGCCAAAAAGTGTGATTCTCCAAAACATCATTAACTGAAAAAGAAAATTAAAGGGAAACAGTACTACTATTTTATATTTTTGAAGGTCTCTTTAATGTCTGATATAGTAGAAGACTGCTGGATTCTCTTCTCTTCCTACATTCGCTTTATTAAGATGTCACATGTCATGTAGCCTCCGGAAAAATCTACAGCACAGTCATGAGAGAATGAGAGTGAAAAAGATAAAATACCTTAATCTTTATTATGAATTCCCTGAAATCTTTTCAAAGAAGCCCCTGGACCATGCTTTGAGAACTACTGTTCTAAAAGATTAAAATAGGAGTATAAAAGGTTTTTAAAATTTGACTCAAATGGTATGTCACAATATATTTGAAACACTTAATATAATAGAAACATTTCTCTAAAATAACTACTAATGTGCTTAAGTAATACAGTACAGTCTGTCTCTTCTGTATTTTTTTTTAAGTACTAGAGGTTGATTTCAGAACATCCCAGCCACACCCCTCCTTTTAATTTTTTTTTTTTTTGAAAGATGTCTCTCTAAATAGCCCAGACTGGCCTTGAACTTTGCAATCCTACTGCCTCAGTTTCCCAAGTCACTGGCATTACAGGTGTGTACAACCACACCAGGCATCTTCTGTATTTTTACTGTCTTGTGTTTTAAAGTTAACTTTTTCACCTTAAATTACTTGCAAATGATTTTGTTGTGGTTAACTTATTTTAAAATATCTTCATATTTTTTACATTCATGAGTATTATATAAGATTTTGTATATGATGTTTAAAATCCTTTTCTTTTTCTTGATTTAAGAAAAAAGGCTTCATTTTTTTCCATTTTTTAAAAAAACTTTCTAATTAAGATACAATTTATATAAAATTTCCCTTTTTAAAATATGTAACTCAGTGATTTTTTAGTAAATATTTTGAGGCATAAAATGTTTAAAATATAAAGTAATATTTAGAAGTATTACTCTTTATTTATATCTAGAACATGAATTTACTTTCGGATGCTCGTTCTGCTCGAATGTACCGAGATGAATTAGATGCACTTCGAGAGAAAGCAATTAGAGTTGATAAGCTTGAAAGTGAAGTCAGCAGATATAAAGAGAGGCTACATGATATTGAATTTTATAAAGCAAGAGTTGAGGTATGTTACATAATATTAACCGTTTACAATATTTTTTTCTTTAAAAGTGATATGATTTTCAAAATGCATGGAAAATGCGCTTGATAACCAAGGACCTTTACAAATGTTAAACAGTAAATATCTTTAGTTCACGTTATGATAGATCAGCATTATTTCTTAGACTTTTAAAAAGAGATTTTCAGACATTTTCAACTCTGTGTGTCTCTTCTTTCATTCCTTTACTTAACATCATAGGTAAAGCAGACTTTTTCAGGTCCTTTCCTCATAATCAAAAGCATTTCTCTACTAATTAAACTTATCCCCATAAGTGAAAGCATAACATGTTCCTGATTGCTGCTTAACTGAGTTGGTAAATGTGAATCAGTGAAGGCTATGTATACATAAGTGAATTTTTAAAAAGCAACTTTTCCTCCTTGGTAGTTCAGTGTTATAGAAATTTGAGACTAACAGCAAGAATTTGACAGTCCTTGCATTATTTTTTCCTTTTTCAGTAGTTTTCTTATTTTCTGTCAGCTAAATCTGAGGAGATTTTAGTCAATTTCAGTATGTATCCTCATACAGAAGAAAGGAGTATGCAAAATGAAGAAATGAAAACATAAGAGAAAATAGAACACTTTATCCTGAAAATTATCACTAAATAGCCCCAACAGGACTTCAAGACAAAATTCATATTAATTCTTTGCCAGTTTTTAGATGTACATATGCAAGGCACTATTAATGTATTTCATGGATGCCACTGTTTTTATATATTTTCTTTAGGAAGTATAAACCACAGGCATAGAACTTAGATAGAATCTTCAAATCATACATAGGGATTTTTAAGGATTTCCTCAGGATATTTTTATAAAACATTTATTGATAGACATTTGGTTTATCATTTATGTGAGTCTTAGTATTTTACTACAAAAACCTTCACTCTCAAGTAATATCTAGAGAGAAATGTGAGTCTTATTTCAGTTAATAGAATAAGCCCTGATTCTATGGAACTTAGTTTCTTAAATATCTGAAAGACTACTTTGTTCTTTAACCTTGTGATTAAGAAATTTAAATATACTCCCTACAGTTTTATGTGAAATTATAGTAGTATTACTCATTCTAATATAAGACTAAGCATTTTGATTGCATTATAGCTTAAATTTGTGGAGAGGAAAGGGAATGAAGCCAAAACACATTGATATATTTGTTACTCATTAGTTTTACTTTTGCATAGAACTTTCAATAAGGATGGCTTTTATGTTTTAGTTTACAATAAATAATTTTTATGTTCTGTTAACTTTCAAAAACTAACAGACACTAGCACTTTGATGATAAATAAGACTTTGAAATGTTTATAGGAATTAAAAGAAGACAATCAAGTTTTATTAGAAACAAAAACCATGTTGGAAGACCAACTAGAAGGAACTCGAGCTCGTTCTGATAAATTACATGAATTAGAAAAAGAGAATTTACAATTAAAGGCTAAACTGCATGATATGGAAATGGTAAGTTTTATAGGTATATCAATTAATAGCCTCTAAGGAAAAATTCTAGAATATGACTCATTTCTCTCTAATGCTAAGAATGACTAGAATCCTTAAGTCATTAGCAGAAAAGAGATAGCTAAATAATTTAAATGCTTCCAACTTTGCATAAACACATGAGTAGTAGAAATTTCTGCTTTTGTTACAGATGTGTATTATTAAGTTTGTCATCTACCTTTCAAAACCACAATAAATTAGCTATCATATAAACATGTCTTTAAAAACACAAAAATAAAGCTGTTGGCTAAAATTTAGCATTGGGTCAGAATACTTTTGTGGTATCACTGAAGCTATACTTACAGAGAAGAAGCATTTTCATTGTTCCCAAAGATCACTTTAAAAGAATGTCAGATACCTGGTCAGTATAATGACCAGTAACAATTATAACTGATTATTGCCTTCAAACTAAAAATTTTAAGGAAATGAAAACTTATCCTCATATTATTCTGTTTCTAATAGAAGTTATAAATAATAAAACAGTGGCTTAAAATAGTCCTGTTTCTTAGTTTTATTTTCTCTCTCTACTTCTTGCCAATAAAAAAGGAACGAGATATGGATAGAAAAAAGATTGAAGAATTAATGGAAGAAAACATGACTTTGGAAATGGCACAGAAGCAAAGCATGGATGAATCATTACATCTTGGCTGGGAGCTGGAACAGATATCCAGAACTAGTGAACTTTCTGAAGGTATTCCCAATATTGTTTTACCTACAAAGATAAATGAAAGTTGTATTTGTTTATATTTTTGGATATTTTATTGCAGTCCTTCATTTTTCCTAACTGGAAATACCTCAGAAGGCCAACAAACCATTGTCTAGCATAATAATATGTTGATTACACTGTTTAGGTCTGATTATTAGCTTTCCATGTCTAGAATTCAATTTTATGTACGATTGCAATAGCAGATTTAATTGGTGATTTAGGCACTATTTCATGTTAATGTCACAAGAGGCTGCTGGAATAACAATTTATTGATTTCTTTCAAGAAACATAATAGTAAATGTAGTAACATTTAATAATATTTAATATTTATATATTGAATATATAATTTATTAGTAAATAATAAGTAGTAAGTAAAGAAAACAGAAAAGTTGTATTAGCTAGTCAGCATGTTCTTTGACTATAGACAGACCAAAATAGGAAGTCAAAATATAATGGGCAGATTCGTATAATGGGCTACTTTCATAATATGTGTGATTGCCATTATAGGATTCTGTCCAGCCCAACCACTGATGGTTACAGGATTACTCCTGCTAACCATTCTATTCCTAGAGATAATAAATGACTATCAGACAAATTTTACAATTTGTTCTCTTTTTGTAGGCTTCCCATTGACTTGTCTTTCTTAAAGTTAGGCCTAATTAAAATACAGTTGCTTGGGTTACGAATTTGAATGTACTAATGATGACATACTTTATTGAAATTACAGCCAGGTCATATTTATTCAAATGAGACTACTTTTATAATTTCTGTTATCCCATATTGGATTATTTTTTGCATTCCTTCATCAAATATTTATTAAATATCTGCCAAATGTAAAACACTATACCTGGCACTGAGGATATAGTGTTGAGGTAATATAATCTCTAAGAGATTTTATAATCAGATACTTATAGAATAATTACTTATACACATGACTTATCCTATATATTATCTTTAAGGTTTTTCCTAATTTTATATTTGAGAACCTAATTTAAAATTCTGGTCCCCTGTGTACTGACCACATAAATGATGACATTCAGTGAGTGAACTTACAGAGATGGGTTACTTAAAATATTTAACTTTTTTTTTCCTACTCCTTGGGAATTGAGTTGCAAAGAAAGTGATTCAAACTAAATGCTTTCTATTAAAGTAGTTAAAATTTACAGTTAAGAGTTTCTTCATCTAACGGGAACAAATATTAACTACCTTATGAGGTAGTTGGGAGGATTGTGAGGATTAACTTTGTTGATACTTCAAAATCCTTAGATAGTAACTCTCATTGTAATCATTATGTCACACAGTTGTTTTATAACTGATTTTAACTGTAATTGTAGACCAGAATATTTGTTTTAATGTGGTGTAGTAGTTGTCTCTTCAAATTATACAAGGGCTTTTCTTTCCATAAAATTAATTGTATGTGCAAAAGTGAAAAGGAGGAAATTAAGATCAATAATAGTTGCTTATATTACATTCACATTTCAGAAAACTTGCTTCAGAACATTTCAGTACATATGTAATTAAACATTACAAGGTCACCATGTGTATAAAATTCAAATTCCTTTTTTTACTTAACATTACTACATAGACACTCTTCCATATTACTAAAAATGTATTGTAAGCCTCATTTTTAATACATCATGATCTGACATGAAGCTTCAGTGAAGCACAGTCATAGCATTGGAAGTATTAATATATACCATGTTATAGCATGATATTGTTTATTGAAACACATGACTACAAATTGTGACTGAGAATTGGTCTGACTAACGCATAAAGAAATAATATAATCTGAACAGATCAATAATGAGTAAGGAGATGGAATCATTAATAAAGTCTTCCATCACCGATGAATGAATCATTTAGATGAACTAAAACCATCTTTCTCAAACTTTTCCAAAAGAGTTGAAGAAGAGAAAAAGCTTACAAATTCATTTTGCAAGGCCAGCATTACCCTACTACTTGAAAATCAGACAAGAGCTGTATAAGAAAAGAAAATTGCAGTTCAGTATTCTCAGTGAACATAAATGGAAAAATTCTCACCACATCCAGTAGCATCATTCATCATGATCAAGTGGGATTTAATTTTGGAATGCAAGGATGGTTCAACATATACAAATCAATAAATGTGATACACTATGTTAACAGAATAAAGAACTAAAAACAATATGATCATCTCAATGGATAGAAAAAGCATTTGACAAAAGAATTAAACCTCTTTTTTTATTTGTACTGAGAATTGAACCCAGGGGCACTTAATTCCTGAGCCACATCCCCACCCCTCTTTTTGTATTTAGAGACAACAGGGTATTGCTGAGTTGCTTAGGGCCTTACTAAGTTGCTAAGGCTGTTTTTGAGCTTCTGATCCTCCTGCTTCAGCCTCCTGAGTCACTGGGATTTCAGGTGTGCACCACAATACCTGGCTAAACCTCTTTTTGATCAAAACTCTAGGATAGAGATAGAAAGAATGTACCTCAACATAGTAAAGGTCATAAGTGACAAGCCATCATCATAGCCAACATTATTATCCATAACTAGCTAGCTAGCATCCTGATATTCTAAGGTAAGGAATAAGAGAAGGATGGCCATTCTTACTACTTCTATTCAACATTGTACTAGAAGTTCTAACCAGAGCAGTTAGACAAGAGAAAGAAATAAAAGGAATCCATATCAGAAAGGAAGGAGTTAAATTTGTGTTTGCAGATGATATAATCTTTTAATATAGAAAGTGCTGAAGATTCTACCATAAAACTATTTGATTTAAGAAATGAATGTAGTAAATTGTAGAATGCAAAATCAACATGTTATGCTAGTAGCATTTCCGTACACTAAAAACAAACTACCCATAAAAGAAATCAAGAAAACAATACCATTTAGAATAACTACAAAAAAAAATCAAATGAATTACTTAAGAATAAATTTAACCCAGGAAGTAAAAGATTGCTACACTGAAAATTATTTTAAAAAAAGAAACTGATGAAAGAAATCGAAAAAGACATTTAACAAAGATATCCCATGTTCATGGATTAGAAGAATGTCAAAATGCCCATACTAAGCCAGTTATAGTGGCATGCCTTTAATCCTAGGGACCAGGAGGCTGAGGCAGAAGAATATTCAAGCTCAAGGCCAACCTCATAAACTTAGCAACACTAAGCAATTTAGCTGTCTCAAAATAAAAAATAAATGGCCTGGGAAGTGTTCAAGCATTCTTGGATTCAGTCTCTGCTAATGGGGGAATAAAATGCTCATACTACCCAAAGTGATCTAGAGATTTAGTGCAATCCCTATTACAATTTCAATAATATTTTTCACGGAAATAGAAAAAAACGAACAATCCTAAACTTCATTGAAACCATGCAAAATCTTGGATAGAAAGAATAAAACCAAAGGCCTCACACTACTTGATTTCAGAAAATAACACAAAACTAGCCAGGCATGATGACATATACCTGTAATCCTAGATACTCAGGAGGCTGAGGCAGGAGGATTTCAAGTTCC